GCTGGACGGTGAGTTTTTACCCCATTGGAACGCACTGAACGGTTTTCAATGCGTTTCAATGGGGTTTTTTATTTCGCTTTACGATGTTTTCACTTAACAGCGATTTTCCTGGAACGGATTATCATCGTTAAGCAAGGCACCACTGTACATACATCCTCTAAGAACAAAATGCTTCCTTTTTTTCAAAACTACTTCATTCATATGCAAATCTGTGACGAAGTTCGTCTTTGGCCGGGGGGGGTTGGGTAGTAAAGGCGGGAAACAAGCGCGGAGGCGAGTTCGAGTCTTGGGGAATAACAACTTTATTAGCATGAACACTTAATTCCACTGGATCAAACGGATCCTTCAAAACATCATCGGTCAACAGGGCATACTTCTTCGGTCTAACAACTGGCTGGCACATCTCCTCTTCTACCAAGGGGCCGGGCCAAACCGCTCGCGATCCGTCAGGGGTCTTAAAGGCGCACTCCTGACGGCGCAGATGGTCCCACAGCAGGGGTGGCGGGCCCAATCCCCCTCCGGGGGTTTCTGTTGGAACTCGGGGCCCGGGCGGATAACCCTCCGTCCCCCACCATGGTAGCCCACCGGGAAGACCGAGCCCCTCCATTCTAAGGGTTCGTAAGTCCTACCGCGACCGCACGTTGTAGGAGGCTCAGGCAGCAGACCTCCTCCTCCCGGTAAGCTTTGAACGCCTGGGGTCCCGTCTGCTAGGCTCTTGGCATCCTTTAGCCAATCTGTCTGCACCCCTCTCGTGGTGTATCTGCCCAACTCCCCTTCTCCCAGCCAACTAAACTCCCGCGCAAAATCTCCTTCCCCTTTCACCTCCTCCCACATGATCAAGTCCATCTCGGCTCCGCCCTCATCCACCAAGCACACTTCAGTAGGCCTTCTCTGTAGTTCTTCCTCACTCTCTATTTCTACTAGAATCCCTTCTGTACAGCCACTGGCGTCCTTTGGTCTTTCTTCTTCTGGGGACGGCACACTGGGTCCCACTCCTTCACAAAATCCATGTGTTTTTAATAGATTAGCAGATAGCTCTTATACCACTCTGGTCAGAAGTAAGCACACTGAATTCAGTTGGACTTACATTCTTACACATTTATATAGCGTTATAGTCCAAGGTTTATACGATTAATCAGCTCAAACTGCAACCTTATATATCCTTATCTGAAAACATGAATCCATTGGGATTTAATTTCCATGTAGACATGCATACAGTTGAACTATAAGATTTATTTAAACAACTGACGGGGCTGGAGTTATAGGCTTTGGGGTTTAGGATGCATTTTTCTCTCCATATCTTGGCTGGCTTACATATAAATTGTTGTCATACTAAGATACTTGTCTTGAATTCAATTATTTCCATGTCTGAAAACTGCTGCACAAAAAACAGCTCTAGATAGAAAACTACAATTGTTTGTGGTTGCCTTTGCTAATCAAATCTGTGACTAATTCATTATAATCACCCTTTCTCATTGTTCAGAAAGCAGCATACATTAACTCAGAAAACACTGCATTGTGCAGCAAGACAACGTGCCAAAAAGAGCCTTGGTCACCTGTACCCACTATGCACAAAGAATGTAGAAGAACAAAGGTCCTCTTCAATGATGGGTGAGTACAGATTGTTTCTTCCATGAGAATTTGTGGTCAATGTTCTCTTATCCAGTTATGATGGCATAACACAAAAGAGGGAGTTGGGGGGGGATTGCATCCTAAGTTGCATCACTCAGCATGCTACTGATAATGGTCTACAGAGATTTCTTAACTTGAGGCAATTTGCCTCCAAAAGTTAATTTGCATAGCTATGCTAGAGGATTTTAGTTAATATATTTTGATTTCTTTATTGTAATTGTGAATGGCATCTGGATAAAAATTAGTTGGCAAAGCAATATATGGTAAAATATATGTAATTTGTTCCTAGAAGGCTTTATAATATTAGTGTTTCATGGTTGTGGCTCTGCGGAAAAGAAAAGAAGTAAAATCATGAGTAGCTTGTGAACTGGGACAGGGGAGGCTCTCACCAAAATTTCAGGGGGCACTCCCCAACTCTAGTCATGAGTAATTACTGAGTAAAGTACAATAAAAAGCAGAGATCTCACCTTACCAACAAAGGTCTGCATAGTGAAAACTATGGTTTTTCTAGTAGTTATGTGTGGAAGTGAGAGCTGGACCATAAAGAAGACTAACTACCAAAGAATTAATGCTGTTGAATTTATTTATTTATTTACTTAACTTATATGCCGCCCACACTACCCGAAGGTCTCTGGGCGGCTTACAGCATTTAAAATACAATAAAAAGGCAAAATAAAAGGGCAAAATAATTAAAATGCAATTAAAATATATATTCTAAAAATTGCCATCAGACCTACAGCTGATATTATTTCAGTTAAAAGCCATTTGGAACAGGAAGGTTTTGACCTGGCGCCGAAATGTCATCAGCGTCGGTGACAGACGAATCTCAGTCTCAGAACTGTGGTGCTGGAGGAGACTCTTGAGAGTCCCCTGGAGTGCAAAGAGATTAAACCTATCCATTCTGAAGGAAATCAACCCTCAGCGCTCACTGGAAGGACAGATCCTGAAGCTGAGGTTCCAATACTTTGGCCATCTCATGAGAAGACAAGACTCCCTGGAAAAGACCCTGATGTTGGGAAAGTGTGAAAGCAAGAGGAGAAGGGGACAACAGAGGACAAGATGGTTGGACAGTGTCATCGAGGCTACCAACATGAATTTGACCCAACTCTGGGAGGCAGTGGAAGACAGGAGGGCCTGGCATGCTCTAGTCCATGGGGTTACAAAGAGTCAGACACGACTTGACAACGAAACAACAACAGCTAAAGTTTACAGATCTTCTTTACAATCAGCCCATTATTGTAGAATGTAATGCAGTGTTTAATAAGTTTATTACTTATTAAGCATTCATGGTGCAGTGGTTGAACTGCAATACTGCAGTAAAAAAGAAAAATTGCATGGCCTGAATTCTGTCCCGACGGTCTCAGTTAGCTAGCTCAAGGTTGACTCAGCCTTCCGTCCTTCTTAGGTCAATAAACTGAGTACCCAAATTGTGGGGGTGGGGGGGCAAAGTGTAGCCTGCATATTTAAATTGTAAACTGCCCAGAGAGTGCTTTAAGCACTATGGGGCGGTATATATACAGCACACTTAAACTCAATATGGGAGCTAATTTCATTGAAAAATGCTGTTTTAGTTGACACTGGGTAATGCAGAAGCATGAATGAGTCTCTGGTGGTGAAGAGGCTGTTGCCTTGCACAGATGGCAACACCCACTAAAACATGTCTGAGGCACATCATCACCATCTCAAACAGAGCACACCCACCAGAATACTGAAGCAAGGCACAAGGGGACATCAAACAAATCAAAATAGTGTGGCATGCTGTTTCTTGTTAATTTAAAAAAACTATGGAAAAACTTCGCCTTGCAGCAGTTCCTTACAAAACAGATGTACACATCGTATGTTCCTCCTCCCTCAAGAGAGCACCCCAAAAACCACCCTGAAACAGCTCCTAAGGCTGAGGTGCTGATTTTAAAAAACTCATCTCCTTTCCTGCCCCCCATTTTTGTTCCTGATTGTTTGTTGAGCTTTTATGAAATCCTTGCAAATGTCTTTATCACACAGTTCTGCTTAATGTAGTAAGTCACAACTGAAATAAGCTGACTGAAATCTATGGAGACTTGGTGAGTCAACTCTTCATAAGCTCCACTGATTCACTACTCTAGTTGTAACCTACTAGGCTAAGCAACAGGATGTCAGCCATTGAGATAGAAAATAATAAGTCAGTTCCAACTTACATTGATCCTTGCTAGGGTTTCCTGGGTATAAAGGACTCAAAAGTGCATGTTTGCTTCTTCTGGGGGCACTTCAGGACTGCAACTTGCCCAAGGCCACATAAGCTGGCTCTTCTCCTACAACACACAATGGAGAATCAAACTCTGAACTTCTAGCTGCCCAGCCAACTTGTGCATCTCACTGAGCTATCTAGCTATCTAGCCAGCTGATATAAGATGTAGTCCTTGTAAATTGAGATGAAAACAGCTATCTTAAACTTATGATTTATATTTTATATTGCTTTGTTTTACCTATGTAATAACTGTGTATATTTTAAATTGTTTTATTGTATATGTTGTGAGCCGCCCAGTGTAGACTGTGTCTAGATGGGTGGCATATAAATGCAATCAATCAATCAATCAACCAACCAACCAACCAACCAATCAATCAATAAAATGCTTTGTAACATGTATTTGAATGGAACTAACAATTTAAAACTTTATATGCAAATATAAGCTGCACTTTTTTAAGCCCTTCCTTTTTTAAAGCAGACTTTTGTACTACCAACATTTTGTGCTGCATGAATTTAACGTCTTTTGTGTCTTTCTGCACAGTCTTCAACGAATTGCATTCGGTAGACAAGAAATCTTACAACAAATAATATTAAAAATAATATATTTGAGTGCAGCTGCCATGCCAGCTTTATATGAGTCTGTCTGTTCAATATAACAAGTAATAGAAATACTTTATTTCTTGCTGCCTTGGAGCAAGGTTTTAGAGAAATTGGCGGCAATACAGCTAAAAGTACTTCTTTATGGATAGGCAGTAAATTTTTAGGTAATTTCAGCCTCGATTAACCTCAGATATCGTGTGGAGATTGCCTTTGTTAAAGCGAATGCAAAGTTTTAGTGCCTTTTGTGGCAAGATCATTCAACATATGTAGTCTGACCTGTCATTATTCATAACACCAATTAAAATACTAATTAGAAACAGCCAGTATATTCTTTACCCAGGAAGATTTTAATTATACTAGACAAGTATGAAAGACATCTTCTGCTTATTTTTCCTTTTCCATTTAAAATGTGTTCTTTAAAACTATTATTACAGTTGCAATAGCTTAAGGATTCACATTAGAAAATATTATTAAAATAAATTTCATAATAGCGGGGGTTATTAAAGAGTTGATGTCTGCAGCCTTTCAGAATTGGGGGGAGAATCATCTTGAGACCTGATCTAACATAGTGGGCTCTCATTATTTTGCAGTTCTAGAAATCTTATAAGAGATCAAAACAGTGCTTCCTTGGGCTTTGCCTACAGCTTATTGTCAGCAGTTATGGTCTTTCTGTTTCCTTAAGCCACAGGATGAGTTACTTTTCTTGGAACACTTGAATAGGTGTTACTAACACTTTGAAGGAAGCAGAGGTACTCATACCTGAAAAAAATGAGTTTCAACATTTAGGACAGGGACCACAAGCATGCCGTCTCTGGTGCATTGCATTAATTTAAGTATTAATGGGTCTCTCCTCAAGGAGACCCTTATTAGGCCCCTTAGGAATAAATCAAATTTGGCAGTGGACAATATTGGCAATTATAGGCCCGTCGCCAATGTTTCTTTCCTTAGTAAAGTGGTCAAGAGGGTGATGGCTGACCAACTTCAGGCCCATCTGGATGAAACCAATGCCCTGCATCCATTTCAGTCTGGCTTCAGGCTGTGACATGGTATGGTTGCCCTGTTTGATGACCTCCTGAGGGAGGCTGACAGGAGCAAAATCTCTCTGTTGGTCCTTCTCGATATCTCAGCTGCCTTTGATACCGTCGACCACTGTATCCTCCTGGGGAGGCTCTCTGAGCTGGGAATTGGTGGTCTGGCATTAGCCTGGCTCCAATCCTTCTTGGAGGACCGTCCCCAGAGAGTACAACTTGGGGACAGTGTATTGGCTCCATGGAATCTCAATTGTGGGGTTCCACAGGGCTCGATTATCTCCCCAATGCTGTTTAATATCTACATGAGGCCGCGGGGTCAGGTCATCAGGGGGTGTGGGGCTTCGTGTCATCAGTACGCTGATGACGCCCAGCTCTACATCTCCTTTTTTCCTACAACAGTGGGTGTTGTTCCGTCCCTTCATCGTTGTCTGGATGCCGTACTGAGATGGATGCAGGCGAATGGTCTGAGGCTGAACAGGAGGAGGTCCTGAGGGTGCGGTGGCCCAGACATTGGTGGTTTGGGAAACTCCCTCACTTTGGGGGAGGTGACTCTCACCACAAAGACTGAGGTTCGCAGCTTGGGGGTAAATCTTGACCCGGCGCTTACCATGGAAACCCAGATAGTGTCAGTGGTCTGCACCACCTACAGATAGCAGACAGCCCAGCTGCATCCCTATCTTGATGTCAGGGCCCTCACCACTCTGGTCCATGTGCTTGTAGTCTCATGATTAGACTACTATAATGTGCTCTCCGTGGGGCTACCTTTGAGATTGATGCGGAAGCTTCAAATGGTACAGAATGCGGCAGCCAGACTTCTTACTGAGGTGAGAAAACATCAACATATCTCCCCCACACTGGCGGCCTTGCATTGGCTACCTGTTCATTTCTGCATTGATTTCAAAGTATTAATGATGACATATAAAGCCCTAAATGGTTTAGGACCCCAATATCTGGCAGAAGGCCTTCTCCCACCTAGATCTACCTGAATCACTCGCCATAGCCAGGAGGGGCAGCTGAGGGGCCTAACGCTGAGCGAGGCCCAAAGAGAAAGAACAAGAAAGTGGGCCTGCT